GACTAGTGGAATTGATTTTCGGGATTTTTGTGATCTGTCCGGAAATTAATCCCACTAGTCTCAGTAACTGGTCCACCTCGATCCATAGCAAAATTTCGGGAGGCGATCGAGCGAATGAGCGAAAGCGGCCTTCCTTCGCTCGTTGAAGCGTTCGCCTTGCGCCAACCGAGCTGTCCTCTGATTGGTCAATGTTTTTCGTTAATAACTCGTTAACGGTGCCTCGGAGAACATTTTTGTAAAGGAAGAAGTTGCTTCAAATGATCCGAGGAACCCGCCATTTCCGGATTGCGTGACATTTTTGGGGCACCCTGTAGACTGTTGTAAATCGACGTGAAGACAAAAGAAGTGTGAAACAATGCGTATGAAGACGATTATTTGATTCAAACGATGAGCAAGTGTGCTACTAGAGCAAGTCACTATAGTGGCACGTCGTCCAGAGAGATGACATCCGCGAAAGCCACTATAGTGGCGTGTCATTCTGAAAGATGACATCCGCGAAAGCCACTATAGCGGCGTGTCGTTCTAAAAGATGATATCCGCGGAAGCCACTATAGTGGCGCGTCGGGCCTAAAAGGTTAAAATCGGACAGCAAATTTAACGCCTACCGGCAATCGCACTAGAAAAAGATCTAGGAGAACAAATTATTAACCCTTTGCACTTGAATGGTGACTCTGAGGCATCACTGAAATCGTTATATCACGTTCCAAAATAATTTTTATATTAACAAAGTTTAGATTTAAAAAATTATTGGAAGTGTAGCTATTGTACGAGTCACCAGAAGACTCAATTTCATATGCATAAAATGCACTTTCTCACATAAAATGGAAATATAATACTATGAGTCAGTAAAATTATTTTAGATTTAAAATTAAAATGGCTTCGAGTGCAAAAGGTTAAGAAGATTGCTTTTGAGGATAATGTGGAAAAAGTTTTAAGGAAGACGTTGGAAAACAGAATGGAGCGCAGTAGATTGAGTGTTTCCTTTCATCGCATCCGGTATCATTGTTCATACCAAACCGTGGAAACAGAGATCAGTTTTATGTGTCTATAAATGATTCTGATAAATCGAATTTTATAATCTAATTACAATAAAATAAACATAAGCATCGAAACGGATATAATAACTTAAAAAGGTGGGAAAGTAGTTTTAGCAGGCCTACGAAAGATTGCTATTTATGCATCCGGAATTGGCAAGGCTGGTGTTGCTAGACGCCGTCTGATATATTCATCGTAAAGCTTGACCTTTTTTATGGTGTATTTACTCGGGACGTTTTGTCATGCGAACCCTGTTTCTGTTATTTATAGCGACTTGAACATTTCATCTCGGTGAAATAATGGAATTAACTCGTGAAAATTTTCGTGCGACGATTTACTACCACATTCGACGTGAATTATCGCGACGACAGTGCATCGATCAACTCACTTTGACTTTTTGGCGATGAAGCGTCAACTAAAAACGCCGTATATCACTGGTTTAGTGAATCGAATCGTGGCCGTCGTCCGCTCACGGACGAATTTAAAGAAGGTCGTTCAAAATCGATTGATGGGCCAGGAAACATCGATGCTGTGCGCGAACTGATCATGCAAGATCGTCATGCGACATACCGTGAGATCGAGGCATCCCTAGCCATTAGTATAACAAGCATACGTAAGATATTACATTAATATTTAACCGAGAAATAAGAAAAAACAACCAGCGACGCAGAATCATTCTTCACCATGACAACGTAAGGTCTCACGCGTCGGCCCAAACAACTCAATATTTAACCGGTCGAAACATCGAATTGATGGGTCATCCGCCGTACATCCCTGATTTGCCACCTAATGATTTGTTCTTGTTCCCGTCCGTGAAGAATAAATTACGTGGTCAACGATTTTCGACGCCAGAAGAAGCGGTTGATGCGTTCAAAATGCACGTTTCGGAGGTTATATACACGTTTCGGAATGGAAAGAGTGCTATGAAAACCGGTTTAAACCTATGCAAAAGTGTATTGACCATCGCGGAGAGTACAGTAATTTCTGGCAGAAATGTTCGGAGGTCGGAATTGAAACCGGCAGATCTGAGGATACTGATTGTTCGGGCCTCGCGGCTCGTTTTTATAGAAACTCGGAGCAATCGGCAAGAAAAAGCAGCGACCTGCATGCCGGTGTACATTAATATGAATACATAGTAATGCTAGAATAAAAACGATGACTTAACTATTTTATTTCTAATTTTTTGCCATGATTCGAAGGAAATTCGAAGGCCACGTGACACGATTCGGAGACAATTCGAGGGGCACATGCCACCATTCGAAGGCAATTCGAAGGCCACATGACACGATTCGAAGGCAATTCAGAGGCCACGTGACATGATTCGAAGACAATTCGGAGGCCACATGACGCGATTCGAAGGCAATTCAGAGGCCATGTGACACGATTCGAAGGCAATTCAGAGGCCACGTGACACGATTCAAAGGCAATTCGGAGGCCATGTGACATGATTCGAAGGCAATTCGGCTACATGATACAATTCAAAGACAATTCGGAGGCCACGTGACAAAATTCGACGGTCACATACCTTGTAGCTCTGCGGTTTTTTTTACCTGACTTACACTCAAACAAAGCATTTTCTGTTGTCTTCCAGGAACTCCATCGACCTTAGCATCAATGTAGCAATAAATTACATAGGTTAGGACAGAGAAATTCACAGAAACCTGAAATTTGGCATTTCCGGAAGAAATTACTATACATATTGAATGTATGTATATTGAAAAACAATAAAACCATCTACAGTGATAAATATTTGTCTTCTTTTTGTTTTACCGGATACATAAATAGCAACCCTCGTATCACGGAATAAGCCGAGTACCCTTCGAATGCCCATTGAAACTGCAATTGTGTTCTCTTTTATGCAATATTTCTATGCAATATTATAAATGTCAGAGAACCAACATTACATTACTTACAAGGAAGGGTTCTTAGACGTCTGCCTCCGATTGCTCTGCTTCTCAAACATGTTACGAGGTAGCAAAAAACAAGAGATACGTATTTTTTCACATTGTCCCGCTTCCATATTTAGAGGGTGAAACCACCCCTAGAAGTTTATAAGATGAAATATGCATGATAATTTAAAATTAGCTTAAGAATTGCGATCAAATTCTATGCAGGGTGTTCGAAAAATCGTGGTACAACCGGCAAGGGGGTGATTCTACATGCAAAAATAATTCGAGAAAGAGAAATAACATTTTTTTATTTTAGGCTCCGTATTTTGCGAAAAATTAAGTTGAAAAAGTAACACTATTAAATAGGAATCAAATGGCACGTCTGCTCGTGATATACCAATTCAACTTCTCGTCATATTACAAACCACGCGAATTTACGCATCTTTCAGCTCAGTTTTCCCGAGAACGGAGACTCAAATGAAAAAATGCTATTCTTCTTTCTCGACTTATTTTTGCATGCAGAATCATCCCGTTGCCGGATGTACCACGATTCTCCGAACACTTTGTATAAATTTATCCAGCCGTTAACCGATAACTCGCGACCTCTAGTTTGTTTTCGAAAGGGCTTTCTTCCCGTAAATGAATAAATCTGAAATATCAAGCGATGCCTGCGATCGAGAAACAAATCGACGGTTTTGCGTGCGCCGCGCGCGATTGGGGAGAACTCGCCGAGTTAGGTGAATAACTCACGAGATAGGGCTGTTACATGGAAGAAACGCGGATCGGAGCGGTGCGGCGCGGCGCGGCGCGGCGTTTATACAGCTCGTATTATTATACTGCTTGGCCGCCGTGGCTAAAGTTGAATCGCGTCGGAATGTAGAGAGTTTAAGACTCGCTTAGAGAGGATTTGCGATAGGCAACACCCGCGCCGAGCGGGGCCCGGCCGAGCCGTGCCGTCCTCCCTCTTCTTGGCTTCGCAATAATCCCTTCTGCCAAAGAGTTGCCAGCTGCAGTCGTCCGTACCTTGTCTGCAGTCGCGGCGCACACTTGGGAACACCGTGGCGTGTCGGGAATGCGGAAAGGACGAGTTTCTTCTACTTTTGTTGCGCGTATCTACCTGGTAACCTGAGCCGCGGTGATGCGGTGGCTCTTCGAAAACCGCGTCCGCTGCTAGAATCTTTCGAGACCAGATTGTATTCGTGTTCTTATCAGATCCAAACACTTCCCTGGTTAGGCGACTCTAGTTAAGTTGCTCGCTGTTACACGTATAATAAACGAGCAGCCTCGTGCCTTCTGCCTTCCCCCTGGCTTCTTCCATCGCGCGACGGAACCGGTGCGGATTTCTTACAATTAGACCGGCACCGTTAGAACCGGCCCAGAATTTCGACGTGCCGGACGTTTCGACGACCGAACCGGCCTCGCCTCGCCTCAACGATTCTCCAATTTCCCCGATTTCTGCCGATCCTGGCGCCGATTTGCGCGAAAATAAACGCGCCCGTTCGCAGCACGGACGTCCAGCTCGCTCATAAAGCAATGCTCCGTAGAACGGATCGCTGCTACCATTACGATCGCCATTAACTATTTTACAGGTTTATCGTGGCTCGATCTCGAGTACGGCGTTTCGCTTCGACACGATGCTTCACGGTCTCCCCTGCTTTACGAGCCATTGTTTCGATTTTTCTCGCGTACCGGCCAGCAGCACCGGCAACTGCAACTGCAACGGCAACAGCAACGGCAGCAGCAGCAGCAGCAACAACAACAACAACAATAACAGCAGCAGCAGACGGCAGCGACAATAGAGACGGCAGAATTTTCGGTGGATCTCGTCTAATCTCTCTGTCTCGAATAAATTGATTTCTCTCGGGTTTGTACGCGAGCGCGCGCCAGCTCCGATTTCAACGCAGCCGAGAGAGCCTTAACTCGATAAATAAAGCAGCCGGACTCCGATGGAAGGCTCCTCATTTTTCGAGTCCATAATGAAACGAGGTTAATTCCAATAGATGGAACACACTGGATAAGATCGTAAATCATTCGAAGGTTACCTCCCGCGTGCCTCACAATAACTATCGTCAATAATGATCACCATGAATGAAACGGCGGAGGCACAGCGGGTGAAGAGAAAAAGAATTACAGACGGAATTTCAAGATCGGCGAACCAATTCTCTTTTCGGTCTCTTTTCAGTCTGCTGTGCGGGCACGCGGTGCCGGGGCCGCATACGTTCGGCCCATGTACCACTTTGATAGTCGTCGATAAAGAAAAAAGCCAGTCTGGCTAACTGGACTGGCCGACTTTGCTCATTAGAGTACACGTGGGAATTAGCGGCGAGAGATTCTCCGGCGACCTATAAAATAAACTCCGCAGCCTTGTTTGTGAAAGTCACACTCGAATTCATCGGCGCGTTCTATAATTCCTGCGGAAACTACGGCGCCTTCTACTTCCCTTCGATCGGACAGGTTCCGAAAGCGAGATCCTGCGGAACAGCGAACGGTTAAAGGCCGATTTACGTCTCGTCGGCACAGCCGCCAAACGTTTACGGAGCGATCCGGTTCAGACATTTGCATTCAGTATTTATATCATTAATCCACGAAAGGCAACGACAGCTGTGTAACAACTATTTCGTTTAACGTACGATTCCGCGGCTATAAGGTGAAAAACGCGGCAGATCACAATTTCAAGAAATTTCAGTTGATGCATTCATTGAACTGTATAGAATTTATGAATTGATCAGAAAACACATCGTGAAAATAACTCAAAAAATTGTGCAATCCGAAACGCTGCTAATACGAAGCATTGGTGATCGGAACATTAAGCGACGATGCCTCGAAAGTGACAACAGATGACTTGCGGCGTTCTTTCTTGCAGCCTCGGAATTATCGGTTAAAAATGTTTACACATTTATATGATAAGTAAACGATCCGTGCCGCGTGGCAATATTATTAGACGAAGAAGAGGCGAGTAGAAAAAGGAAACATCATTTCGCTGTCATTTTCGCTGTTAAAGAAGAGAAAAAGTTGTCGAAGAATTTTGTACATTATCATTATTGTCTTCTCGATTGAGAAGCTATAATTCCTTACTAACTCAATGAATTTTTCGTTGCGCATATTGAATCAGATTGCGTCGCACGTCCCATTTTTAACGAGATTTTTGCCTGAACTTAATGAACATCGTACGAACGTGTGTTACCGAGATGAAACATTGTTCCAGAGAATGTCTGAAACGCGCCGAAATAATCCGCGACGTTACGCATAAACAATAGAATATTTTTACCAGCAACAATGTCTGTCTGAACCGAACCGTTCCGCAAACGTTCGGTGCCCGAACGGATGATACAAATCGGCTCGGGCGCGTAAAATCGCGGGAAAATCGAAAGTTACCTCTCCGAGTAGAATGGCGGATCTTAAAGCGGGAATGGCTGCTTTCAGGAGGCTGCACTCGTAATCGTTCAGAGGCGGAATGCCTAAATGCCTTTGTATGCCATCCGGGCCCAATTCCAAGGCGGAAGCAAAATATTGAATTTCTGGTATCGCGCAGGATCGGACGTAGGCGTGTTCCACGACGCCGCGTTGATGACGCAAAGCTGAACGAAAGGGCAACGAAATGTAGGGGAGAACTGCCGCGAATGGGACACGTATCGAATGGGACATTGTCGTTACCTCAAAAATTTGGAATTTTGTTATAATTAAATTATACTCGTTTTAACCACTCGTAATTTGGAACCGCTGCCATTTAACCAATTAGTTGTCGCAATCTCTTTTAAAAGTGTATAAGTTACTGTAATTATTAGACTGCGATTTGATGCATTCGTGACAGGAATGAGTAGCTGCTATTTGTAACAGCAAAAATATTGCAACAGTTGGAAAGTGCTAATATGGACAATTAATAATGGACAATTTGAGAAGAGAAGATACGATTATTCCGCAAAGCTTGGATAATGGTATCTCCTCTTCTGAAACTGTCCATTTTTGTGCGCAATCTAAGCGTTAATTAAGGAGAATTTTTCATTCCAATAAACATGCTAAGGGATGGAAGAAATTCCAAAATGACTTCCGTTCCTCGCACTAGACGCAGAAAATATTTATCTTGCGGGAAAATCCGCAGTCTAGTAATTATACTTAAATAGAACACTGTTATAAAATGTATAATTAAACAAAGAATATCAAAGTATATATCCTCCTAAACCAGTTACAGTAATGTCTCTCTAATTGACGCTCAGCTTGAAAAGAAAAATGAACAACTTGGGAAAAGGAGGTACGATTACTCGAGTTTTGCACCTCGTTTTTATAATTGTTGATAATCTGCCGCTATAAAAACGAGCCGCAAGACTCGATTAATCGTATCTCCTCTTCCCAAATTGTCCACTTTTGTGTACAATCTGAGCGACAATTAGGGAGACATTACTGTAGCTGTTTTCGACGAGTATACTCGCCATGAAAAAATGGCAACATTTCGTGTTACGGCCTATCGTCAAGACTTATGCCAGGCAATTAATTTTTTAATGCTCGAATGTAATATTTTTCCTGGATAAATAATACTTTATGTCGTTACATTGTCTCATTCGGTGTAAGCAATCGATGAACGGGACGAAATGCACTTCGTAAAACAATTGAAAATAAAGCAAAAAGACGTAGAAGAAACTTCTTGCTTCGATGCATTCTCATAGCAAAACAACTGTCCGAATGTTTCGAGTTAGAATTAGGTAGGTCGTTTAACACGTTGAATGCCACTGGGGTCACCGGTGACCGGCACTTAACTTGACGGTGACGCCATGGGGGCCACCGGTGACCGGCGCGCCCAAATTGATAGAAATATATATAATTTAAAACAAATGTTGTTTTGTCCGTACGTTTGGTTAGTCGCCTAACGTACATGCGCGACCGAACTATTGTACGCTCGATTCGCGCTTCCTACGGCAAATTAATGACGTGGAAGGGTCTCTAGTAGTATTAGAGAACTTTATTTTTTAGGTTATACTCTCTCTGCGAGCGCTGGTGGAAGAATGCTCTCCCAACGCTGGAAATTCGTGGAAGAGCACCCGTGGATGGAGGTAGATTGTTTATTATTGGTCAAGGCACGAATCACCCCTTGGAGGGGGGTGTCTGCCTTGACCCTTGTTGGGGCCTGAGAGGGTTTTTCCCCAATGTTGGGACCTTTTTATGGGTCTTTGTCTCTGGACGCAACAAATGTCAATATCTATTACTACCATCGTAGTATTACTACCATCGTCAATTCAAACAGTGGCCACTGTCGCAATTAACATGTCAAACATGGTTATACACTGTAACTTATCTATTGCAGATAATATTTCAACATTATATGTATCGCATAAACCGGCGTGGCATTCAACGTGTTAATTTGAAGATAGCTCGTCTTTGAGCGACTGGTGGGATGCGCGTTCGCGTACCTTTGCAAAGAGACATGCAAAATCTAGCTGCTCCGAAGGCCGTGGCAATGGACGCGGTACCCTTTGCATCCAGTTTCGATATTTCTTCGTCGATGGATCTCACGGCCCTTGTTAATCTTCTAGCTTCTGCCTAATCGATTAATCGATTAACTACCGAGCCGACGTGCTGGAAGAAATCTAGCGACGAGTTAACAAGACGCGGGTAACCTGGGATATCATGTTGCAAGGTTTCGCCCTCGAAAAAATCGGCACGCACGTCTTTGAACAGCTTCCACCGATCATGGGTATCGACACGCATTCTGGCTCGACACCTACAACCTCCGCCAGCAAACTATTCGCCCTGAGACAGTCGAGGCTAATTACGCCAAAAAGACGATTGTACTCGTGGACCCCGGCGCTTTTGTACATTTCCATGGCCAGCGGTATTAAGCTGTTTATCGGATACATTGCCACCGCGACCATCGCCTGAGAAACGAGAAATCGATGTACCAACGATAGTTCGCGAGATCCGCGAGACAAGCCCCGCCGAATTTAGGCAAGAAATAAATTTGCAAAACGCGTACGGAAACCCGGGAACCGGCCGCGGCCGCGGGAACGGCGGAGGATCGATGCGGCAAACATCCGTGTCCTCGTCGGGATTGTCACGAAGAATGTCGAAAACAGCCGGCTTGTAATTAATGAAACTGCGAGGGCGTTAAAAGCCGAGGTCGACTGCTACGCATAAGAAGCGGCCGGTCGTATGCGGCGCGGCGTTCCGCCATTATTCGGTCCCGTATCGCGTACTCATTGTCGTGCGCGTATAAATTTAACATGAGCAGGGTGGCCAGTAAAAGTGACTAATAAGGGAACCGCTAGAACGAATGTTGATTCACCGATCCGATATACGTACGTACGTACGTGTCGCGGTAGGAAGCTCGGGGATTAAACAAACAACGTCGCTTGATGCCGGCTAGTTTATCGGTAGAATTAATTGAAGATGAAGCGGTAAAAGGTTTCCTGATATGCAGTTTAATCAAAGGAAATCGCAGATTTATGTCCTCATTATCCCGGGTTTCTTACGGACGATATTGCTCGATAACGTTCGTACACATGTCCACCCAGATAAGTGAAATTACCCGGGGGGGGGGGGGGGGGCCTNGAAAATTCCCGGGGGGGGGGGGGGGGATCGTTAAGAAACGGGTAGCAATAATCGTTTGCATATTAATTTCTACCAACATTGTAATGCGGTTTCGAATGAGGAATGCCGGTTTACCTGGGGGCAATATTTAATGACGTTCGGCAGCAAGTCCGACAAAATGTCGGCGTTGCGCCTCAACACTTCATCGGTGCCCGGCACTTTCTTGATCATTCGATCAGCAACGATCATTACGATTTTCGTTCCTTCGAGCGTTCGCTGCAGACAGGCTTCCGAGGAGCTGCATGTGCTAACCTTACACTTCGTGTCGATGTAATTCAAATCCCATGCGAGACCGTGTGTGCACGTGCTATCGTAAACGGCCAGTTCGTCTATCCAAGACGATCGTTTTAGAAATAACGACAGATAACTACCTGCGGCGGAGACAAACGCGATACGTGTACGATGATAGAAAAGTTTCGGCCGGGTGTAACCTAATCTATTTACCGGTTTTACTGGCTGCGCCGAGGATCGCTACCTTCATCGATTTCGAAGAGAAACATCGAAACTGAACTGGCAGCCGTATTCGTGGAGCGTTCTGTTCGATCGTAGAGTGTAGAAGCGTTGGAATCAATTTTCGAGATACCAGAATCACCGATCGAATCATATTGAGTCATTTTATTGGAATTATGAAGATACACTAGATATTTTGATATCGGAGAAGTATACTTGAGACGCTTGGTTCGAGATAGAGCTCGACGCGTGATCGATTCGATTTTTAAGGGTGGCTCGGCGAGAAATGGTCGAAGCGAAGGCTAATTATCGCGGAACGCTGATAATGAACTGCGCTTAAGGAAATGCAGTGATGTAAATAATCACAAACTCAAAGTAATTTTTACATTTTTACTAATATCTCGACGAAAACCAAAAAGTGATCATATTCATATATATGAATATGAAATGCAGTGCTCAAGGAAATGCAGTGATATAAATAATCATAAACTCAAAGTAATTTTTACATTTTTACTAATATCTCGACGAAAACCAAAAAGTGATCATATTCATATATATGAATATGAAATGCAGTGCTTAAGGGAATGCAGTGATATAAATAATCATAAACTCAAAGTAATTTTTACATTTTTACTAATATCTCGACGAAAACCAAAAAGTGATCATATTCATATATTCCTATTTTCTATTTCTAATATAGAAAAATACGAATATGTTGTTTCGTTATATTTTTGTTTAAATATCACGGAAAGGATACTTTCACCCTTTGGTGGTACTTTTACTTTTTACTTGGAGCGTATAATACCGTACGATTACATCGGATAGAATTTTGGATTAAAGGCGTGTCGCGGCAAGAGACCGTGGTGCCATCTGTGATGCGATATTCGAGACCGTGGGGACGATACCGTAGGAAACTTTCGTTCTAGAGAGAAACAACATTTTTTCCTCTAGATATTTCCCACGAAAATTTCTATTCGTTTTTCCCGTACTCCCCTTTAGGAAGTCGCTCGTCCATGTACTGCTCGTTCACGTACGGCTCGTTCGCGTATCGCTTTTTTACGTATTCCTCTTCGCAGATACACTTATCGTTGTAATAGCACATGAGACAAGGGACGTAGTAATCGTCGGGAAGGCCGCACGCAACGAAACGATCACGTTCGTCTGGAATGCCGTTCTCTGTTAAAGTCGAGTTCAGGTCCAGCTCCTTTCCCTCGAATTTCCACGTGTAATATCTGCTTCTCGCGTTATAAATAAGAGCGCGTTTCTGTATACGTTGAACGGTGTCCTCCTCGCAAACCTGTACGCATTTCGAATTCTCGTTAACGTATCGATCTCGGACTGTTCCCGTTCGGACGGGGACGAACGAGCCCTATTTACCATCATCACGATCTCCGTGCCGGTGAGCGTATTCAAAATTCGACAGGGCCGGGGATTTACGGTGAGACAGCCCTTCTTGTACCTTTCGTCGAGCCACCAAGGGCATTTGTCCAGTGGCCGCCAAGAGCTCGCAGGAACCACGTGAGGAATTACATCCGGTAATGGGCCGTGAGGACAATAGGGTACCAGAACTCCGGTAACGGGGTGCACGTGATATTTGATGTCGTTTGTCTCGTGATCGAACCAGTGACTTATATCCTTGCCGGCGTGAGCCAATAACACCTGAACCTCTCTCCTGCCAGCCGACTTCTTGCAAAGATCAGTCAAATCGTACACTCCGCCGTTGTACGAGACCCAACAATCAGCCGCGCTGTTATGCACCGCCACTTCCGACGGTAGATAATATTTCACGCGAACGATTTCCGACCCGGTTGGAACGGAGACCGACGCTCGAGGCACCCTCCCTACGCTGGAAACGGATTTATTCACGAATGACATTTTCCTAAGATTCTCCGGAGATCTCGTTAGACGGCATTGACCACCTGAACTCGTGTCGCAGCCACGGTCGTTGCGCACAGATATCGCGTTGCCATTATTTGGGAATCCTGACACTGTTCTCTGCATCGTAATCATTCGGAAAGGTTGCACGCGATTCCGTTAAAGCTACCTATTCATACGCGCGTGCTAAAATGTTGCAATAGGTGTTTCTCTTTAAAGTTAACACTCGTTTCGATATACATTCGGCGTCTGTGATCTCGGTGCACGGGTCGTTGTTACTTGGTTTATTGATTATTGCAGTTGCCGCTTTTACCCATAATGTTATTGCATTCTTGGGAGTGTGTAGTATATAAATAGATAAAGAATGGTAAACGAAATCCTAAAGCATACCCAAAAAATATTGCTCAATAAACGCCGTTCTCTGCTAACTTCACGGTGTCTCCATTCGATAAAATTCCTAGCCGGATCGGAGGAATGTTCGATTCCGACGGGACTCGTCCATCGAAGGAGCTCTAATTGGATGGTTATTAAGGTATTCGCATAGTGCTTGCGTGCGGTTAACGTCCGAGGAAAAATATTCTTGCAGAAGCCGCTGAAAATTGGCTCGACAACAAAGGATCATAGTAACTTTCGCGCCGTATCGTTGGTTACTACTGTTATTTCCAACATGAAGGCAGGCACTTTATTGTGGCTATTGCAGGCGATTGAATGGCTGCCTCGTCCAGAGAGTGCACATTCTGTTTTGCTGTAATTAATTTTACGTTACTTGGTGATTTACACGTGAAATATTCTCTGCCTCGTATTATTTGGTAAGTCTTTCGATACGTTTTAACAGCCTTTGGAAATACGTTTGGTACGACGGCAGAATTATCGTCTTACTCTCGTTTCTGTGAAACGTGCTCGTAAGATTTACGGCCGGTTATTTATTTCTTGCTAAACATTACGTCCCACAATTTTTTTCACGAACGTCATCCACTTTGTTAGTCAATCGATCCCGACGGCGCGTCTGCACCCCTTTCTATGTACTCGGAAAATCATTCTAATATTCTGAGTGTACAGTAGTTGTCAGAACTAGTAGTTGAACTGTGACACACTATAATAGCACGTTGTACTAACATGAAACAACATCTTTGGATGTCCTTCGAAAATATGCCGCACAACTCCGATAAATTTTTTGTAATATTTAGGCGTACAATATACGGATTACCAGTGATCTAATTTCACTGAAGGAAAACAACATATAATGCAGTTAAGGTGGCATATATAATTTGTTTGTTTTCAACCAGTAATTTGTTTATAATTTCTGTATTTAATTTGATCAGAACTTTCTGCAGCACTGTGATGCAAAATTACCTTTTATACGAAAATAGGATTGTATCTAGAAGCATAAATATTTATAGGAATTTATTTATTTATTTTATGGATAGTTTAATTTTATGGATATTAAAAAAAAACTGGTATCTTTTAATAAAAATATTTTTACCATATCCTAATTCAGGTACCTTTGATAATTGAATATTTATAAGGTATTTTCGAAACTTAACAAGTTATTTCCTACTGTGTTGCTTCACATTGGTTTCATCAATATTCTAATATGTTTCTCTAAATTCTTGTAGGGTTGGTGAAATCATAGCAATAGCAATAGCAATATACGAAATTCTGAAATGGAAAAGAGCGCGTACGGATCATTGTGTCGCGCAGAGAGAAATAATGGAGCCGATGAAGCAGCAATGGACACGGGAAGCAACGATGAAAAAGTGGCCATTCTGGATGCAGGGTCACAGTATGGTAAAGTGATAGATCGAAAGATTCGTGAATTGAACGTTCACAGTGAAATTCTACCCCTTGACACACCAGCATTTACCCTCCAAGAGAAAGGCTATAAGTAAGAATACCATAATCATCAAGATATATCTTATATGATTAAAATATTTTCCAATTCAAATCATCATCTGTTAATCAAATTGTAGGGCTATTATAATTTCTGGAGGGCCAAATTCAGTTTACGCAGAGGATGCGCCCGGATACGACGCTGATATCTTTAGAATAGGAATTCCGGTATTAGGCATCTGTTATGGGATGCAAATGATGAACAAAGAATTCGGTGGTACAGTAACACAAAAAGACGGTCGAGAAGATGGCCAGTTTTCAGTCGAGGTAGATTCCAAGTGCCTATTGTTTAAGTAAGTAGACCCAAAAATTTCTCATCCCTCGTTTTCTAACATCCTTGATTTCTAAACAACCAATTGTTATCATAGGGGCTTGGAGAGATTACAAATAGTACTGTTAACACATGGTGATAGTATAGATAGGGTGTCCGATGACTTTCGTGTTATTGCCAGATCGTCGAACATTGTAGCAGGAATAGCAAACGAAAAAATGAATTTGTACGGGGTTCAATTCCACCCCGAGGTAGATCTTACATCTAATGGCAAAACGATGTTGCGCAGTTTTTTGTTCTTCATTGCCGGCCTCTCTGGCAACTATACGCTTCATGGTAGAGAAGCACAATGTATTCAATATATAAAGGATACCGTTGGCAACAAGAAAATTCTGGTAAGGCTCTACTAACATACTCTTTCCCGTTCTTCTGTTAATTCTATAAAATTTTCGTTGACTGTCCAAGTAAATAAAATATGAAATAGATGATAAACTATACCAAATGATCGAATGTCGAGTAAAATAGAAAATAAATGATCGTAGTTGTTAGTGAGCGGAGGTGTGGATTCCACGGTATGCGCAGCACTGTTACGTAAAGCTTTAAACAAGGAGCAAGTTATAGCCCTGCATATCAATAACGGCTTCATGCGAAAAGGAGAAACGGAGTTCGTGGAGAAGAACTTGACACAATTGGGAATTCGATTAAAAGTAGTTAATGCCGCACACTATTTTATGCAAGGGACCACATCCGTTCCCTTGGACAATGTCCCTCCGATAGCCAACGCAAACGCTATAAACAATAAAGGAATATGCGGCACGGGCACAACCCCGAGAACCAGATTAACCAAAATGCTATGCGCGACTATCAACCCCGAAGAGAAACGGAAAATCATTGGTGATGTGTTTGTAAAAATAGCGAACGAGGTGATGGCGGAGATGGGTTTAAAGGCGGAGGAAGTGTTTCTGGGACAAGGCACCCTCAGGCCTGATCTTATAGAAAGCGCAAACGCAGCAGCCAGTGGTAAATAATCAGAATCGTTGATTGCATATCCTCGGGATCTTTTGGTCGGGATTAACGCGGAATGCAATCGTTTCCTCCAGGTAAAGCGGACGCAATTAAAACACATCACAACGATAGCGAATTGGTAAGGGCGTTAAGAGCACAAGGACATGTGGTAGAACCCTTGAAGGACTTTCATAAAGACGAAGTCAGACAATTAGGATGCGGGCTCGGACTTACGATCTCGATGGTAAGTCGACACCCATTCCCTGGTCCCGGGCTCGCAGTACGTATTCTCTGCGCGGATGAGCCTTACATGGATAAAGACTTTTCAGAAACACAGGTATTTATCTTTATTTTGCCAACGAAACCGTATCCGTTTCCCTTTGTCCCTACGTTCTCTTGTTCACAGGTGATAGTGAAAATAATGGCAGAATACGAGCAAATGCTCAAGAAGAAGCATGGATTGCTGAATCGTGTGGAAAGTGCGACCAGTGACGTCGAACGCCAGCATTTGCGACAAATTTCGAGTCGTCGTCATATCGCTGCAACCCTATTGCCTATACGAAGCGTAGGTGTACAGGTAGGTAATCGAAAAGATACCAGAGATCGTTGGAAGGGATCATACGTAATTGCAATCAATTGTGTTGCCAGGGAGATCGGAGAAGTTATAGCTACGTCGTAGGTTTGTCCAGCGGAGAAAACACGTCAGAAGGAATAGAATGGCAGGACCTATTGTTCCTCGCGAAACTGATCCCGCGTGTATGCCACAACGTGAATCGCGTGTGTTACATATTCGGGTCTCAATTGCACCACCCAGTGACGGACATCACCCCGACTCATCTGACGTCGAACGTGATAGCCACACTCCGGGAAGCGGATTATGTAGCAAACCATGTCTTATCCTCTCATAGCTGTATGGGGTCTATCAGTCAAATGCCAGTAGTTTTAATTCCTATACACTTTGATCGTGATGCTGTCTCTCGGATACCTTCATGTCAACGTTCAATTGTTCTTAGGCCGTTCTGTACTAATGATTTCATGACTGGCACCCCGGCTATTCCGGGCGAGGAGCTGTCTGTGCATGTGAGTTCGAGCAATCTTTCGACAATTATCGCAGCATCGATCGATAAAACTTGTATGCTAATCGACATGTGTTTTCTGTTTGTTCAACAGGTGGTGAAAAAAATGGTGATCGAAATATCTATGATACCCGGTATCTCGCGTGTTTTGTACGACTTAACATCTAAACCGCCGGGAACTACCGAATGGGAGTAGTAAACGCTCATCCCTAACTCAACCCTTTCTATTTTTTCACCATCCCTGCGCGTAACGACTACAAAGTAAAAAGTATATTTAAAAATATATATATATATATTACAAAAATACGTACGAATTCGAGGTTTGACTTCTTACCGATTTATATAAAACCTTTGAGCAAAAACTTCTTTCGAAAAAACGTATGTTCTCGATTGTAAATTAATATGTTAACTGATGAAAAAAAAAGATGAAAAGCAAAGAACTCGAAAACTCGTAAAAAGAGAGAGAGAGAGAGAGAAAGAGCGAACGAACGAACAATGATACCGATACTGATACTGTGTTCAATGAAATTGAAGGTAAGTATCATATTTGCTTGTAAATAGGTTTCTTATTAACCTCATTGTAAAAATATTAATTTATTCAATTCCGAGAAATTTACATTATATATCATTGTTACACTGCAAATGATTGCATTTGATTGGTGGTACCATTAGATTGCTGTTATATTCGATCTGCATATAATGTTGAACGTATTTTACTGTTTTCCTGTATGTCCTATGCCAAATGCAATTTCCAGTTTTTGTCATACATCTAGAAGAATATGAACATAAATAAGTTAATGTATTATGTCTTTAATACCATTTTTATTTATCAAAGATCGCAACTGAGTAAAACGACAACTATTCCCTGAATCCTATGTGTTGTATATCACTGAATAATCCATCCGTTGCTACGACACGGGTGAAAAACCACGAATCTTGCATACAATATAGATAATACCTGTGCATGGTTTTCAATAAAATATGTAAATCTTCGATGCGTCTCTTCTCCGGAAGCATGCTGAGAAATGTTGCGAGTGATAAAAAATCTACTTCGTTCACGATCTTAGAATTAGTGATCCATATTTGTATTTGCATCTTCACCTGCAACCGTGTATTTTACATTTGTATTTATCCTGCAGCCAATGTAAAAAGGATAGAATAACTATCGAGCATGTGTACCCCTTATGCCCCGTAAAATGTAACTCGATCGAAATTTAACACGATGATGCGACGATCACTACCAATCACTATCGCTAAATAGTAAAAAAAAAACATTTTCTATGCTTTCCGATGAAGACGTGTTTCACCAAACAAAACTATCATAACTATCGATTTATAACGATAACTTAATCATAAACGCTACCTGTTCTAGAGGTAGATTAAGTAAGCGATTTACAAGATCAATTAAAATGTCTTGATGTTGAATTGAACTTTCATTGTCTTCCGATATAGTGCGATTATGTGAGAGTATGGCCTCGGCTTCGTCTCCGGTAACTCGATCATTCGTCGATCCCATTTCACTCAAGCGTGGCAGTATGCACTTCGAAATACCATTGCTGGTACTTGTACCATCATTCTGAACCGGTATACTTTCACACTTGTTTTTAGTCTGTTTAGCTTTAAACGCGTTCAATATTCCTTTCTTTTTACCATTTTTCGTCGACGTTGCTTTCGAATTTTTACCACTGCTCTTCGTTTTACGGTCAGTCTGTTTGCTTCCTTTCACGACGTTCTCGTTCCTCGTTAACAACCCTCCTCCGAATTTGCGAGCTGGCTCCTCTTTCTTCATTTTCGAAGACTGTGCCGACTTCTTAGCCGTACAATAATTTTCAACTTCGCGTTTCATGTCATCCGATAACGCGGCCAAAAATTCTGGATCGACTTGTGAAAAATTTATAATTCCCTCGTCGCGATTAGCTCGGACTGCGTTCGATGATACTGTGTTCGAACCAATTGCATCATTACTCTCTTCTTTTATCGCGTTGACCCCGTTCTTTTTATCTTTATATTCGTTAAGAATTTCATTTCGTATATCCTCGGGAAGTTCTATTAACACGGCCATATCGACTTCCTGCAAAGGAGGCAAGTCCACCTTCGCTGGTCTCGAAACACCCGATTTGATTTGCTTAAAAAAGTTTCCTGGCAACGTTTGCCCATGGTTCTCGGATTTTTTCGCAGTTTTTGACGCACCGGTACTCGGTCCTTCTCCATCGTTTCTCTCTCTTCTTTGAACATCCATGACTTCCTTTCGAATATCTTCCGGAAGTTCCGAAAGAACAGCTTCGTCTACGTAAGAATCAACTACATTCTTTTGATCGTCGATTATATTTTTCGAAGTTGACGGAGCGGAAGTTGAAGGAACAAAAGTTGAAGAAACGGAAGTTGATGGAACAGAAGTTGAAGGAACGGAAATTGGTGGGACGGAGGTTGAAGATTTTTCCACGAATCCCCTGAGATTACCATTATCATTACTCTTCTTCGTGACGAAACTTTTCAAAGGAACAGAAGTTGAAGGAACGGAAATTGGTGGGACGGAGGTTGAAGATTTTTCCACGAATCCCCTGAGATTACCATTATCATTACTCTTCTTCGTGACGAAACTTTTCAAAGGAACAGAAGTTGAAGGAACGGAAATTGGTGGGACGGAGGTTGAAGATTTTTCCACGAATCCCCTGAGATTACCATTATCATTACTCTTCTTCGTGACGAAACTTTTCAAAGGAACAGAAGTTGAAGGAACGGAAATTGGTGGGACGGAGGTTGAAGATTTTTCCACGAATCCCCTGAGATTACCATTATCATTACTCTTCTTCGTGACGAAACTTTTCAAAGGAACAGAAGTTGAAGGAACGGAAATTGGTGGGACGGAGGTTGAAGATTTTTCCACGAATCCCCTGAGATTACCATTATCATTACTCTTCTTCGTGACGAAACTTTTCAAAG